GTCATCATTTGTTAGACATGCATTTCTCTTGAATTTTTTGTTGCTATTCTGTCTCTCAGTGTTACAATACACCGAACATTCGATTTTTAGACCGATCGTTTCTTTGTGAGTGGGCAAACATTCAACATCAGCCGGGGATCAAATACTTATTTCCTCCACTGTATATCCCTGTTGAGGAATAAAGAGTCCTCCAAGAGCCAATATCCTATATTAGTGAGAGGGCCATGGAGGAAATTCTCTCGGCTTTTTTGAGTAAACATCAAGGTCGCAACTTGAGCATTGGCGGCTAAGGACAATCAGAGGGAGGAAAGGGAGCAGCACAAAGGGAAGTCCTCTGCAGACGTCTGATCTCCTACAGGGCCAACAATACAGGAAAGGATACTTAGCGTGTCAGGCCCGTGGTGCTTTCATGTCTGAGATGACACTTGTATTAGAGGTGTTGGTTCTCAGGTCACCCGGCACATATCATGCAGGCAACGTGCGTCACCCAGAACAACAAACGTGGCGCACACACGTGTTACTGTATACATCTGGGCTCTCCGCAGACTCCCAATCACCAGAGAGGAATCCACATTCTTCACATACTTCCAACAAGGCTGAGAAAAGACAAATGCCCATTAAAGTGTATCTACAGCCACAGCTAGATTTGGATGGAGTAGGGAAGGGTCCAGCCCTGCTCTCTGATTATGGAGATCTCTTACATTTCCACTTATTATTATTATTATGCAGCATTTATATATTATTATTATTATTATTATTATTATACAGGATTTATATATTATTATTATACAGGATTTATATATTTATTATTATACAGGATTTATATATATTATTATTATTATTATACAGGATTTATATATTATTTTATTATGCAGGATTTATATTATTATTTATTATTATACAGGATTTATATATATTATTATTATACAGGATTTATATATATTATTATTATTATTATTATACAGGATTTATATATTATTATACAGGATTTATATATATTATTATTATTATTATTATACAGGATTATATTATTATACAGGATTTATATATTATTATTATTATTTATATACAGGATTTATATATTATTATTATACAGGATTTATATATTATTATTATGCAGGATTTATATACTTTGGCGCTATATAAACTCGTAGTATTAATAATAATAATATTATAATATATTATTATTATTATACAGGATTTTATATTATTATTATTATACAGGATTTATATATTATTATTATTATTATACAGGATTTTTGTATATTATTATACAGGATTTATATATTATTATTATACAGGATTTATATATTATTATTATTATATTATACAGGATTTAATATATTATTATTATATGCAGGATTTTATATTATTATTATTATTATACAGGATTTATATATTATTATTATGCAGGAATTAAACAATATAATTATTATTAATATACTGGATTATTATTATTTATTATAATACAGGATTTATATATTATTATTATGCAGGATTTTTATATATTATTATTTATTTTTATTTTATATTATTATACAGGATTTATTTTATATTATTATTATTATACAGGATTTATATATTATTATTATTATTATTATTATACAGGATTTATATATTATTATTATACAGGATTTTATATTATTATTATTATTATACAGGATTTATATATTATTATTATACAGGATTTATATATTATTATTATAATACAGGATTTATATATTATTATTTATGCAGGATTTTATATATATTATTATTATTATACAGGATTTATTATTATTATTATTATACAGGATTTTTATATTATTATTATATATACAGGATTTATTTATTATTATTATTATACAGGATTTTATATATTATTATTATTATACAGGATTTATATGGCGCCAACAGTTTGCTCAGCGCTTTACATTATAAGGGAGACAATACAGCAACAATACAGTTCAATACAAGAGGGGATAGGAGGGCTCTGCTCCATAGAGCTTACAATCTAGGAGGGAGGGGCTAGTGGTACAAAAGGTAATAACTGTGGGGGGATAGACTGGTTGGAAGAGTAGAAGATTCCATTATTAGCTGAGGGCAGGATAGGCTTCCCTGAAGAGAGAGGTTTTCAGAGATCGCCTAAACGTGAGCAGAGTAGGTGGACAGTCTGATAGATTGGGGTAGAGAGTTCCAGAGGATGGGGGAAGCTCTGGAAAAGTCCTGGAGACTAGCATGGGAGGAGGAGGAGACAAGGGAGCTTATGTCTGTAACATTTTGTATTTCCCATCAGTGATCTCAGAGAAACTTAAAGTGTTTACTGGAAAACTGATTCTCTTGAGCCAGTTTTACAGTTGTTGCTCTTTTTCTGCATCCAAAATGCACAAAAAGTAGGTGATATGGTTGTCAATGTCATAGTTCACATCAGGACTTGCAGTTCCAGTGCATTCCGAATGCATGAAAAAAAAGTAGAACGGGCTGCATTTTTTTTGCACAGAACTGTACTGGAACGCAGTAAAAAACGCCTCAAAAACGCACCGGAACACACTGGAATGCACCAAAACGTACCAAAAACGCAATGAAATGCATATGTCCCTAATTAAATTGAAGAAAAAGAGAGGGGGGAAATGAACTGTAATGCTTCAAAAAGTGCGTTCCAGTTGCAGAAACAAAAGTAGAACAGGCTGCATTTTTTTCTGCACAGAATTGTACTGGAATGCACACTGAAAACGCAATGGAACGCACATGTCCCTGATTAAATTGAAGAACAAGAGAGGGGGGAAAACGTACTGGAATTCATCAAAAACGCACCAGTAACAGTGCATTTCGTTGCAGAAAAAAAAGTAGAACAGGCTGCATTTTTTCTGCACAGAGCTGTACTGGACCGCATAAAAAACACACCAGAACACACTGGAATGCACCAAAAACGCAATGGAAACGCACATGTCCCCTAATTCAATTGAACAAAAAGAGAGGGGGGAAAATTAACTGGAATGCATAAAAAACGCACCAGTAACAGTGCGTTCCGCTTGCAGAAAAAAAAGTAAAACAGGCTGCATTTTTCTGCACAGAACTGTACTGGACGTGGTAAAACGCATAAAAAATGCACTGGAATGCACCAAAAATGCTATGGAACGCACATGTCCCTAATTATATTGAAGAAAAAGAGAGGGGGGGAAAATGCACTGGAATGCATCAAAAAACGCACCAGTAACAGTGTGCTCCAGTTGCAGAAAAAAAAAGTAGAACAGGCTGCATTTTTCCTGCACAGAACTGTACTGGAACGCGGTAAAATGCATAAAAACGCACCGGGAACACACTGGAATGCACCAAAACTGCCTAATGGAAACGCACATGTCCCTAATTAAAATTGAAGAAAAAGAGAGGGGGGGAATTTACTGGAATGCATCAAAAACGCACCGTACCTCACTGGAATGCACCAAAACTAAAAACGCAATGGAACGCTCATGTCCCTAATTAAATTGAAGAAAAGTAAAGGGGAAAAAACGCACTGGAATGCATCAAAAACAAACATGCCAAAAATGCGCATGCAAAAACGCATCTGGATTGCGTTTCTATAGTGTGAACCGGCCCTTATCCCGTAACATCACCAAAGGAAAATCCATTCAAGTATCTGACTATATCTTAAGCCCTGATGAAGGAGAGAGTGTGTTTGGGCCCCGAAACGTGTTGGATTTTTCATATGCAAACCATTAATATAGAATGAAACCTAAAAAATATTCTGAAGGTCAGCTTTGTATAACAGAAGACACCCTATCAGCCCATAAACCCTTCTCCCTGCCTGTCGGCGTTTGCATGTGCTACGCATGCGCAGCTCAGTGTACATTTTACGGCCCTTATCCCATAACATTACTTCCAGCAAAGGAAAGTCCATTCAAGTATCTGACTTAAGCCCTGATGAAGGCGAGTGTGTTTGGCTTCGAAACGTGTTCGATTTTTAAGGGTGTGTTTGGCCTCGAAACGTGTTCGATTTTTAAGGGTGTGTTTGGCCTTGAAATGTGTTTGATTTTTCAGGGTGTGTTTGGCCTTGAAACGCTTTGGATTTTCCAATGTGTTTGGCCTCGAAATGCGTTGGATTTTCAATGTGTGTTTGGCCTCGAAACGCATTGGATTTTTCCAATGTGTTTGGCCCTCGAAACGCATTGATGAATTTTTCCATTTTCCAATGTTGTTTGGCCTTGAAATGCGTGGAGTTTTCAGGGTGTGTTGGCCTCGAAACGCGTTGTATTCGCAATGTGTTTAGCCTCGAAACGCGTTGGATTTCAGTGTGTTTGGCCTTGAAACGCGTTGGATTTTCAATGTGTTTGGCCTCGAACCACGTTAGACTTTTCAGGGTGTGCATCCATAATGTTGTCCTCGAAAAACACGTTGGATTTTTCAGGTGTGTTTGTCCTCGAAAACACGTTGGATTTTTTCAGGGTGTGTTTGTCCTCGAAAGACGTTGGATTTTTCATGCTGTGTTTAGGCCTCGAAACGTGTTGGATTTTCAATGTTTTGGCCTTCAAATGCGGTTGTATTTTTCACGGTGTGTTTGGCCTTGAAACGCGTTGGATTTTTCATATGAAAACCATTAATATAGAATTAAAATTAAGAAATAAAAAAAATATTCTGACAGGTAGATTTATATAACAGAAGACACCCTATCAGTCCATAAAACCCTTCTCCCTGCCTGTCGGTGTTTGCACACGCCACGCATGCGCAGCCATCTCAGTGTACATTCACGGCGCAGCTCTATGCTGTGGCTATGTGACTCACTCGGCAAAAGAGTCCAAACCCAAAAGGAAGATCGGGAGTAATGAAAGCACCCAGGACCATCAAGAACACTGACAGTGCAGCTCTGATGGGATCCCCTGCCAGGCCGGCCATAGTGCCCCCATACGCTGGGCATACCAGTACAATATGACATAAAGCTCCCTGGCAAAGTGTGGACTGACCATTTTGGAGACCACCTGAGGGCCCGGGGTCAGTGAGGGGGCCCCATGAGATGCCCCTGATACCTTTTTTCATAGGCTTTTTTGAGTTTGGGCAAGGACACAGGGGCCCCATGATCCCCTATTGCCCGGGGGCCCCCATGAGTTGTCAGTTTGCCCCCTGCTCCCTGGATGACTTTTTTCCTTTTTTTGTTATTGCGGTGATTTCATTTCCATTTTAGTGCGACTTGCAGGCCATACATGGTTCGAATTCCGAACGATTTTTTGTCCGAAATCGAAACATCATTCGTTCTGTAATCCGACGGTGCCACCAATGATTTCGAAAATCGGTCATTTTTCACACATTTTCCCACATGCCCGATAAACGAATGGGGAGTAACCACGAAAATCATCCAATGCCATTGTGCCCCAGTAACAGAGCGAAAATCGGCCGATTATTCTTAGGTCCGATTTTCGCATGAAAATCGTTCAGAATTCGAACCATGTATGGCCTGCGTTAGCCTTCGGTCTCTTTCTGCTCTTGTCTGGAGATTTTCAATGCCACCAATGGCTGAGTTGATAAGTCCCAGGTCAGGCCTGGCGTTTGGCATTTCCGTAGCGGGATCCTTCGAAGCGGCCTTACTATGTCGGGTAGCGTTTGACATCCGCCTTCGTGCTCAGCAGGCTGTTACAGACGTCCAGCTGACCATTCCGGCGGCGAGGTGGAGAGGCGTCCTCTTGGTCTGCAGAAGGAACCAGAGACAGCGGACGGCGAAGATTAGAGCCCAGTGGCGCTTTATCGTAAAATCATTCACAGGCACAGTAACAGTTTGGAGTTCTCATTTATAATTTGCCTCTGTATTTGTCTTGTGTATACAGAAAGGGGAAGATATGTAAACCACTTCATCCTCTACTTACGCTGACAATTGCTGCACCCGGCCGACTTCTCTTTCTACTTCTCCGCTCTGCCTGTACATTTTAATATTTAAAAAAAAAAAAAAAAAAAAAAAAACTGTACGGAGAAATATGAGGCCACCACTTTTGAAATGGCTGTCTCTGGCTTCAGTCGCTTATCCGGGACAAGCATGCAGCCAGTGAAGGCAGAGCTGGCTCAAAGATCTGAATCTATTAGAACTGCATAAGGCTCCATGCACACGGGGCGTTTTAACCACTTCCAGTCCGGACACTTTCACCCCCTTCCAGTCCAGACACTTTCCCCCCCTTCCAGTCCGGACACTTTCACTCCACTTCCAGTCCGGACACTTTCACCCCTTTCCAGTCCGGACACTTTCACCCCCTTCCAGTCCGGACACTTTCACCCCCTTCCATCCGGACACTTTTCACCCCCTTCCAGTCCAAACACTTTCACTCCCTTCCAGTCCAAACACTTTCACCCCCTTCCAGTCCAAACACTTCCCCCCCCCTTCCATCCGGACGCTTTCACGCCGATTGCACCCCCTTCCAGTCCGGACGCAGTCCCCCCCCTTCCAGTCCGACACTTTCCCCCCCTTCCAGTCCAAACACTTTCCTCCCCCCCTTCCAGTCCAAACACTTTCCCCCCCTTCCAGTCCGGACACTTTTCCCCCCCTTCCAGTCCGGACACTTTCACCCCCTTCCCCAGTCCGGACACTTTCACCCCCTTCCAGTCCGGACACTTTCACAACCCCCTTCCAGTCCGGAACACTACCCCCCCCCTTCCAGTCCGGATACTTTCAAACCCCCTTCCAGTCCGACACTTTTTCACCCCCCTTCCAGTCCGACACTTTCACTTCCCACTTCCAGTCCGGACACTTTCCCCCCCTTTCCAGTCCGGATACTTTTCACCCCTTCCAGTCCGGACACTTTTCACCCCTTTCCAGTCCAAACACTTTCACCCCCTTCCAGTCCGGACGCTTTCCCCCCCTTCCAGTCCGGACGCTTTCCCCCCCCCTTCCAGTCCCGGACTCTTTCCCCCCCTTCCAGTCCGGACCCCCCCCGCCGCCCATCACCCCCCTCCATCCAAAAATACCCCCCACCTCCAACCCGGACCCCCCCACCTTCCAGTCCGGACCCCCCCCCCCTTCCAGTCCGCTTTCACCCCCTTCCAGTTCCGGAACCTTTCCCCCCTTCCGCTCCACCCCCCCCCCCAGCCCCGGACGCTTTCACCCCCTTCCAGTCCCGGACGACCTTTCCCCCCCCCTTCCAGTCCGGACGCTTTCCCCCCCTTCCAGTCCGGACGCTTTTCCCCCCCTTCCAGTCCGGACGCCTTTCCCCACCTTCCAGTCCGGACACTTTCCCCCCCTTCCAGTCCGGACACTTCCCCCCCTTCCAGTCCGACACTTTCCCCCCCTTCCAGTCCCGGACACTTCCCCCCCCCCTTCCAGTCCGGACACTTTCCCCCCTTCCAGCCCCGGACATTTTCCCCCACTTCCCACCCCGGACACTTTCCACCCCCTTCCAGTCCGGACATTTTCCCCCCTTCCAGTCCGGACACTTTCACCCCCTTCCAGTCCGACACTTTCACCCCCTTCCAGTCCACCCAACACTTTCACCCCCCTTCCAGTCCCACACTTTCACCCCCTTCCAGTCCAAACACTTTCACCCCCTTCCAGTCCAAACACTTTCACCCCCTTCCAGTCCCAAACACTTTCACCCCCTTCCAGTCCAAACACTTTCACCCCCTTCCAGTCCAAACACTTTCCTCCCCCCCTTACAGTCCAAACACTTTCCCACCCCCTTCCAGTCCGGACGCTTCCCCCCCCTTCCATTCCCCCCTTCCAGTCCGGACGCTTTCCCCCCCCCTTCCCAGTCCGGACGCTTTCCCCCCCCTTCCAGTCCCGCTTTTCCCCCCCTTCCCGTCCGGACCTTTCCCCCCTTCCAGTCCGGACGCTTTCACCACCCCCCTTCCCAGTCCGGACCTCTTTCCCACCTTCCACCCGGACACTTTCCCCCCCCTCCATCCCAATCACTTTCACACCCCCCCCTTCCAGTCCAAACACTTTCCCCCCCTTCCAGTCCGGACACTTTCCCCCCTTCCAGTCTAAACACTTTCACCCCCTTCCAGTCCAAACACTTTCACCCCCCCCCAGTCCAAACACTTTCACCCCCTTCCAGTCCAAACACTTTCACCCCCTTTCAGTCCGGACGCTTTCACCCCCTTCCAGTCCAAACACTTTCACCCCTTTCAGTCCGGACGCTTTCCCCCCCTTCCAGTCCGGACGCTTTCACCCCCTTCCAGTCCAGAAACGCTTTCACCCCCTTCCAGTCCGGACCGCTTTTCCCCCCCCCTTCCAGTCCGGACGCTTTCCCCCCCTTCCAGTCCGGACGCTTTCCCCCCCTTCCAGTCCGGACGCTTTCCCCCCCTTCCAGTCCGGACGCTTTCCCCCCCCTTCCAGTTCCGGACACTTTCACCCCCTTCCAGTCCGGACACTTTTCCCCCCCTTCCAGTCCGGACACTTTCCCCCCTTCCTGCACAGGCCAATTTTCAGCTTTCAGTGCTAATCACATTTTGAATGACAATTGCGCAGTCATGCAACACTGAACCCATATGTTTCTGTTAGCATTTTTTTAAGACAGATAAAGCTTTATTTTGGTGGTATTTATTCACCACTGGGATTTTTATTTTTTTTGCTATATAAATGAAAATGTCCAAAAATTTTGAAAAAAAGTGTTTTTCATATAAAAATTTTGCAAATAATTTAATCTTTCTTCATAAATCTTGGCCAAAATTTATTCGGTTATATTTTTAGTAAAACCATAATAACCCAAATTAGTTTATAACCAAAAATTATAATTTAAAAAAAAAAAAATGTTTACATTTTTATTTTATTTTTTAATATTATTATTTATGTTTTTTTCTTTTTTTCTTACATACCCGTCACCCTAGAACAGTGGTTCTCAACCTTTCTAATGCCGCGACCCCTTAATACAGTTCCTCATGTTGTGGTGACCCCCAACCATAATATTATTTTCGTTGCTACTTCATAACTGTAATTTTTGCAGTGAGAGGAATAGTGCCCCATCATTGGTATCAGTAGTAGGAATAATGCCCCATCATTGGTGTCAGTGGGAGGAATAGTGTCCCCATCACTGATGTCATGGGAGGAATAGTGCCCCATCATTGGTATCAGTGGGAGGAATAGTGCCCCATCATTGGTGTCAGTGGTAGGAATAGTGCCCCATCATAGGTGTCAGTGGGAGGAATAGTGCCCCTTCATTGGTATCAGTAGTAGGAATAATGCCCCATCATTGGTGTCAGTGGGAGGAATAGTGCCCCATCATAGGTGTCAGTGGGAGGAATAGTGCCCCATCATAGGTGTCAGTGGGGGAATAGTGCCCCATCATTGGTGTCTCAGTGGGAGGAATAGTGCCCCATCATTGGTGTCAGTGGGAGGAATAGTGCCCCACATTGGTATCAGTGGGAGGAATAGTGCCCGCGTCATTGGTGTCAGTGGGAGAAATAGTGCCCCATCATTGTGTATCAGTGGGAGGAATAGTGCCCCATCATTAGGTGTCAGTGGGAGGAATAGTGCCCCATCATAGTGTCAGTGGGAGGAATAGTGCCCCATCATTGGTGTCAGTGGGAGAATAGTGCCCCATCGTTGGTATCAGTGGGAGGAATAGTGCCCCATCATTGGTGTCAGTGGGAGGAATAGTGCCCCATCATTGTGTTCAGTGGGAGGAATAGTCAGCCCCATGTTGGTGTCAGTGGGAGGAATAGTGCCCCATCATTGGTGTCAGTGGGGGAGGAATAGTGCCCCATCATTGGTGTCAGTGGGGGAGGAATAGTGCCCCATCGTTGGTGTCAGTAAGGGGGAGGAATAGTGCCCCATCGTTGGTGTCAGTGGGGGAGGAATAGTGCCCCATCGTTGGTGTCAGTGGGGAGGAATAGTGCCCCATCGTTGGTGTCAGTGGGAGGAATAGTGCCCCATCGTTGGTGTCAGTGGGGGAGGAATAGTGCCCCATCGTTGGTGTCAGTGGGGGAGGAATAGTGCCCCATCGTTGGTGTCAGTGGGGAGGAATAGTGCCCCATCGTTGGTGTCAGTGGGGGAGGAATAGTGCCCCATCGTTGGTGTCAGTGGAGGAATAGTGCCCCATCATTGGTGTCAGTGGGAGGAATAGTGCCCCATCACTGATGTGGTATCTTGGAGGAATAGTGCCCCATCATTGGTGTCAGTGGGA